GCGAAGTGCAGCGGCGGCGCTGCGGGCTCCGGCAGCGCCGGTGGTTGCGGCGGCGGTGGCGACTTGAGGAGGAGGAGGGGGCCGGGGGTCCGGTATTTAAGGAGGGAGGGGGGTGGCTTGGAGTGCGGGGCAAGGCGGCGGGGCGCGTGGCCGAGGCGGACTCGGCGCGGCGGCAGCTTCCGTGCACCGGCCGGACTCCAGCCGGAGTCGATCGGGCGAGGCGGGCTGGCTGGGCCGCGGCCTGGCGTCTAGCTGGGCCGGCCCACATCGGCTGCAGAGATTTTTTTTAAGAAACAATTTTCGAGAGAGACAAAATCATGCTAAACTAAAATAAATAAATATCTAAAAATATTAGAAAAATTCACGTAATAATATGGCCTTATTAATGACCTAGTGAACATTTTTCTGGGCCTAAATGCCTAAACTAAAAACAAACATTATAGTACTAGTTACTCCGTAAACAAATAAATAAACTTGCAAATAAAATCAAATAAAATCTTCAAAAATTCAAAATTCAATTTCCAATATTTATTTGCTGTTTTTGAAGAAGTCCTTTTATCTTCCCTCTTTACTTTGAAATAACTGGAAAAGAATTTTGAAAAAACAATTTGACCCTATTTACCAAATTTTGATAAATCAAAAATTGATTTTTTGTGAAACCTACAACTCTCTCAAATTGATCCTTGAGTTGCTTAAGGTCTCTGGGATCAAAATGCAACTAAAACAAATGAAACAAAATGCATGGATGCATATGAATGATCTATGAATAACATCCGAATTTAAAATTGGGATGTTACAAACCTACCCCCCTTAAGATGAATCTTGCCCTCGAGATTCGGGTTGGTCAGCAAAAAGGTGTGGGTGGTCCTTGCGGAGGTCTTCTTCGCGCTCCCAGGTGGCTTCCTCCTCGGTATGGTGACTCCACTGAACCTTGCAAAACTTAACGACTCTGCTGCGAGTAACTCGGCTGGCAAAGTCGAGAATCTTAACGGGTTTCTCCTCATATGTCAGATCACTCTCCAACTGAATTGCTTCCAGTGGCATAGTATCTCTCAGAGGGATATCGGCCATCTCTGCATGGCACTTCTTCAACTGGGAAACGTCAAACACATCATGAACTCGCGACAAACCTTCGCGTAATTCCAACCCGTAGGCGACTTCACCCATACGTTCCAAAACTCTGTATGGTCCCACAAATTGTGGTGCTAACTTTCCTTTGACTCCAAATCGCTTAACTCCTCGAAGTGGGGATACACGAAGATATGCTCTATCTCTGACTTCATAGGTTACCTCCTCACGTTTAGTATCGGCATAACTCTTTTGCCTGGACTGGGCTATCTTTAGTCTACCCTAGAAGCAAAGAAGCTCAAGGTCACTACCCTACCCAAGGTCACTACCCTAGAAGCAAAGAAGCTCAAGAGACAACATGGAATACCCAACAAAGACGTCGAGTGCAATCCACTCGACCAATCATATCACTCGGGTATCCCACCTTTCCGAAGACCACTCGACCATAGAAGAAACCACTCGACCTATGAAGACCAGGAGTCACACGGAACTGCAACGGTCAAGCATTCACTCCGTAGTCTTCATGGACATTAATAACACTTTATGGTTGGCGTTACCAGTAACACCCGCTCTTTATGTACATTGAACCCTCTGTGACGGGGATTGCTGGGGTCCTGGCGCACTCTATATAAGCCACCCCCCTCCTCTGGGACAAGGGTTCACACCTCCTGTAACACACATGCATATACTCAAATCCAGTCGACCGCCTCCGGGCACCGAGACGTAGGGCTTTTACCTCCTCCGAGAGGGGCCTGAACTCGTAAACACTTGCGTACAACCTCACCGTAGCTAGGACCTTGCCTCCTCCTACGTACCCCCTACTCTTACTATCAGTCTTAATACCACGACACGAGGATACATATATAGACATTGTCGCAAAGCTCTGCTATTTAGAGTTCTTAGTGATATGGCAGCCCTATTTTTATCATTATTATTGTTATATGAAATGTAAGTATAGACTATATGGAAATGTCATTTTTGGTCTGTTGGTTGTTATCAAAGTGTAAGTTTGGTTCATTTTTGGTCTAGTAAATATGTTGTGACCCTCATGTAAGATTTTTTATCTCACCGGAAGCGGATTTATAATTCCTTCACGGGAATAAGAGATTTATTCATGTCGGCCAATTCAATTCAATCACATGATCTCATTTGATTTGATTGTTTCTTTTTTGTGAATAATGATTTGATTGTTTTCAAAGGCAGGAAAATACATGGTGTTTGTCTCATCTTAGGGGTAGTAGTGCTTTGCCGCCAACAAGAAATGTAGTTGTATAATTGATCAAGTGAACCATTCATTCAGCTCGGTCTTTGCTACAGTAATAAGTGGCAAGACGAGTGGTTCTATATCTCAGACGACTACACTCTCACAAGGATAAGATTATGATGCTTCCAAAAAAATTGTGGGCTCAGTTGAGCTTACATGTGCTTGCATTGTCCCATTCCCACTCATCCGAGGCCTTCTTCCAAGTAGACCGACCCCCACATTTATAACAATGGTAGGGGGAGGGTGTCGTTTGAGGGGTTGTGCTATTGAAGGGAGAGTGCAATGGTTTGGGTAGGGACTTGAGCGTTCCTTTATGGCCAGTTTATTATTACATACATACTACTGTAGACGATATATAGTAGTAGTTGAGTTTGGCCCCATAAATTGAATAGTAGTAGTAGTAAATACTAAGTAAGCACTAGTCCAGTATATGATTATTGATGTCTAGTTGTGAGATAATTGTTGTTGTTAATGGATGCAGGTTGGGTTCACCATAAGGATAAGATACAATCACTATTAATGACTCGGAAAAAAATGATACATACATACTGCCACATGATGTTTTGTTAGATGTCATGAAAAAACAAGTGATTTAATTTATTATTTATACTAGTCCCTGTGTTCACTTTTATTTTTATAAGGCGCTGTAGATATTTCAGACAGTGTGCAAAACAGCTCAATTTCAGAAACGACTTATGAAAAGAAGGAAGGGAGTATTAATTGAAAAAAAAAGAATATTGGGAGGAGGGAGGGAGGGAGGAAGGAAGGAAGGAAGGAGAGGGTCAACAGGTCCCTTCTTCTCTTCTCTTTTCTTTTCTTTTTCTTTTCTATTCTATTCTAGTTCTAGTTCTAGTGGCAAGCCAAGGCAGCGCATCCCCACCAGCCGCCACCGCCACCGCCACCGCCACCACCGGCAGCGGGAAGGCGGACGGATCCCTTCCCCTCGACCTCCATTCCATTCCATTCCAATCTGCTCCTGCTCTCGGAATCGGAATCGAATCGGAATTGGATCAAAGAGAAGAAGCAAGATCCACAAGTGCTCTGCTCTGCTGCCGGCCAAGATCCAAGTCAACCAAACCAAACCAAACCAAACCAGCGTCGTCGTCGGAAGGATGCTGCGGCGGCACAAGGAATCGGCGTCGGCGTCGGATTCCACCTTCTACCAGCTGCGCGCCGACTGCGCCCACAACGTCCCGGACACCAAGTTCAAGATCAAGGTCTATTCTTTTCCTCTTTCTTTGCTTTCTTTCTTCTTTCCTTGTTTTGGAGCAATTCCTCCTCGGACTATATATATATATATATATATATATATATATATATATATATATATATATGGTGGATTACTCAAGAAAGAAAGATGGATGGATGGGCAGATTGGCAAGACGCTGAGCGTACGCAAATGGCACGCCGCCTTCACGCACCACGGATCCCTCCACATCGCCTCTGTTCTAAACCGGATTCAGAGCGGGGTATGCCTCTCTCTCTCTCTCTCTGTCAGGCTGTCAGCCTCAAACCAATTTTCTTCCTCATCTCGTCGTCGTCGTCGTCGTCTAACACAAGCAAGCATGTTTGTTTTCTACATATATATATGTATATACTACTAGGGTGTGCATCCCGCAATCAGAGGAGAGGTCTGGGAGTTCCTGCTTGGCTGCTTCGATCCCGAGAGCACCTTCGATGACCGCGACCACATCAGGCAAGCAAGAAGGTCTGTTACTTACTAGGAGTAGTACTTACTACTCACTATCTCTATCTCTAGTATCAATACTTCTCAATGCTTAGCTACTACTGTAGAGTACAATTCAACTGCTGCTTAACACCGCTACGCTATATGTGATATGCACGCAAGCAGGATACAGTATGCCAGATGGAAGGAACAATGCAAACACATGGACCCTCACGTCGGCAGCGGCAAAATCATCACCGCCCCCATCATAACCGAGGATGGCGTGCCTATCAACGACCCTCTGGTTTTACTCGAAGCCACTGCAGCAGACCAGCAACCTGGTTCAACCACCACCACCAGCAATGGAGATGAGTCGTCTTCGTCGTCGTCGTCATCTGCAAACCACCGTCTCACCGATAAACACACCATCGAGTGGAAGCTTACGCTACACCAAATCGGTATCATGGGGTTCCTACATCAAATCAATTACTATGTCTACTCTTCCTACTTCCAGCATTATTCTAATCATGATTATCCTCCACTATGTATGTGGTGGGGATAATATTAATATACAGGTCTTGATGTTCTACGCACTGACCGCTCCATGCTCTTCTACGAGAAGAAAGAGAATCTCTCCAAGTTATGGGATATTCTAGCTGTATACGCATGGATCGACAAAGAAGTTGGTTACTGCCAAGGTGTCTAGCTACCTACCTACCTACCTCCTGTTTGATTTGATTTGATTTGCACCAGAATGCTTATTTTTTGCCTGATGAAAAGTCGATGCTTTCTTATGCACGTTTGTAATCTTCACATCTCAAACAGGAATGAGTGATTTATGCTCACCGATGATCGTGCTACTCAATGACGAAGCAGATGCGTTTTGGTGCTTTGAGAGACTCATGCGTAGACTGGTCGGTACACACTCCATCCCATCATTTTGGTTATCTATCTGTGACTCTTCTAGTTTCACTTATTATTGTTATCTATCTGTGATTTTTAAAGCGCGGGAATTTCAGATGCACACAGCAATCCGTTGGGGTTGAGAACCAGCTTCAGCACCTTGCCTCTATCATTCAGGTGCTGGACCCAAAGTTACATGACCACCTCGGTATGTATATATGTATGTATTTAATCAACACTCAAGGAGGGACCTGGATATCCATTTGATCTTCTTACACTGCAATTTCTGCTTGTTGACTCTTGAACACAGAAAGACTTGGCGGAGGCGACTATCTCTTTGCATTCCGTATGTTCATGGTATTGTTTCGCCGTGAACTGTCATTTGGGGACTCCTTGTACCTTTGGGAGGTAAATACTTCTTTTTGATGTTGTGCTAAATCTAAAATATTTGTTGTATTTATTTCATCCGTGTGAGGTTTGATCTACGAACCAAATTCAGCACAGTAGTGTGCGTGTTGTACAGTTGGCCTCAATGCCTCAAAAGTATCCTGGGCTGAACTTCTTTTAGTTAAAATGGACTTCACTACTACGTTTTAGATGCCATATTCAGATATTTTCTTTCATTTTCTTAGTGACACCATGACTACGTTCAAAGGTGTGTCATTGTTTCCTGCTGTTATTTTTTTAGTTCAAATGGACCCAAATGGACTTCACTACTACGTCACACAAGTCATCCAACAGAATATGTGTCATTGTTTCCTACTGTTCTTTGTGTGTGTGTGTGTGTGTGTGTGGTCATGGTTGTTCTCGTGTCCGCAAAATAAAATGAATGGTATTACCAGCCAACCAAAAACGGTCACACACTCCAGCTTAGTTGGGTTGAATCCATGGATTTTTAAGCGCTAGCTGGTCATTGGCATTGTTGCAAACTGTTGTGTGTCAACGAGTTCTCCATTAAAAGGCCACCCAACTACGAGCCTGGTTGTCATGTCTTAAGGAATAATAATGCTTTATGTTTCTTGAAGTTTAAACTCTGCTTTGCAAATAAAGATTGACCCTGGTTGTTGAATGGATCATGTTTGTTATCTGCAGATGATGTGGGCTCTAGAATATGACCCTGACATGTTCTCCACCTATGAAGAGAGCGGGCCTGCAACTGACAGAAGTGCTCAAGGATATAAACCAAGAGTAAAATCAACCCGTCAGTTTGGCAAGTACGAGAGGGCGAATATGAAGAGTGCTACTAATGGTGTTGATGGGCCTGTCCCTATTTCTGTTTTCCTGGTTGCTAGTGTATTGAAAGAGAACAGTCAGAAGCTGTTGCAAGAAGCCCGGGGATTAGATGACATTATTAGGGTAAGCTTTTCCCGTGTTTCTTGTTTTATGATGCAAGACGTACGTATTTCAGAGTTGATAATAGGAGGAGCGAAAACAGGCTAAACTTCACGTAACAAATCGTTTGGCTCAATTATGACTAGTCAAGTAATGTAGCAAGGAAAAAATTGAAGCACAATGAACACTGGAAATCAATTATTAACGTTGAAATAAGATTTGTTTTAGACTGAAAGTAGATCTGAAGTTGTGCTTTTTTTTTGTTTTTGTTTTAGATATTGAACAATGTTAACGGGAACTTGGATGCAAAGAAGGCTTGCGCTGGTGCACTGAAACTTCACGCCAAGTACCTTAGAAAGGTAGCGAGCTCCTTCCACAGAAACCTTAGAAAACCTTAGAAAGGTGGTTGAATTGTTGTTGTTGTTGTTGTTGTTGTTGTTGTTGTGTTAGCAGATGCAGGGAAAGAAAGCCTAACATAGCACAGACACGGACACTTGCGGTCTCACAATTGTACCACCTGGAGGGACACGGACACGGTCTCAAAATTGTATGTAAATTTGAATGAGAGCTTTGTTGTTTGGAAACGTTGAAGTTTCATATATGCGCCAGCCAACCAACCAACCAACCGGTAAAATATGTATAAGCAAGTCAAGTGTATTTTTCTTGGTTTTCCAAGTGTAAGAAAGATTCTTTCTTTCTTTTTGCTCAAAAGAAGAAGAAGAAGAAGAGGTCATTTTAATGTGTAATTAATTATGTCATTGTTATCAAAGGAAAAGGGATAATTAAAGGCAAACGTATGTTTTTATGTCTGTCCGTGGGCCAAAAGAAAAGAAAAGAAAAGAAAAGAAAAATCTTGCTTTAAACTAATGTTTGTAGTAACCTATGTTGCTGAGGGGCAGATAGCCATTGATGCTACTTGCTTGATGGTATATTACAAAGCACCTGCTGTGTTTTTAGCTTTGTTGATTAATTAATCCTACTACCTCTGTATTTACCCCTAACTACAAGTATTTCGGTACAGAGTGAGTATAATTTAATTTATTACCTGTACTCTGTTTATGTATTGTTCTTTTGTATGATCGTAGAAAAGGGTAGGGTTCCATACCACTATTTATCAAGAGATAAGTGTATAAAAAAGCATGCATCCTGTCTGGTGCAAAAGGAAGGAAACATTTCAAAAACATCCGATCCGCGCCGCCCAATCTTGCTTGATACAGCAAGTGTTCCATCAAGCACATTGTTTTTGAATGTTGAATCTTCCTCCATTGCCATTGCCATTGCCATTGCCATTGCTGCCCCTTCAACGTTCCTGAAGGAGTATCCCTTCCCTTGGACATATATATATATATATATATATATATTGAGATGAGATACATTTCCACTTTGTTAGAGAGAAAAAAAAGAACAATATTGGAATTTGGAGGAATTCAAACGTCTTTTATCCCCGGACTCTTGGACAAGAATACATGACTTACTTGTGCAACAACGCACATGCATGTTGTACTAAATATAAATACTACGAAAGGGGAATTTAGTTCCAAAAGTTCGCCAGAATAAATTGATTTTGATTTCGTTGGTAGGTTGCAACTCTTTTTTATGTCGGTGGTGAAGGTAGAAACGCAAGTCCAGGAGTTGGAGTGGGCCGTCCTCCTCCCCAACCCAATGGATCCATCCTATAAACACGCAAAGCCCACCAGCCCCGATCAATCCAACATCTGCTTCTTCTTCTTCTTCTCTCATAATAACATTTAGAGTTTTACATTCGACTGAAATTCAATTCGTTTTCAGTCACTTTTGGCCATCCAGAGTTTGACAACCGCTTCCTGTCCTCCGATTTTAGCTAGTATCGTTATCCCACCTTCCCTCTATTCCTTCTAAATTATT